AGCCAGAAAATGTGGTTGGCGATGATGTTGCCTGTTTCTGGGGTTTATCAAAGCCAGAAAATGTGGTTGGCGATGATGTTGCCTGTTTCTGGGGTTTATCAAAGCCAGAAAATGTGGTTGGCGATGATGTTGCCTGTTTCTGGGGTTTATCAAAGCCAGAAAATGTGGTTGGCGATGATGGTGCCTGTTTCTGGGGTTTATCAAAGCCAGAAAATGTGGTTGGCGATGATTTTGCCTGTTTCTGGGGTTTATCAAAGCCAGAAAATGTGGTTGGCGATGATTTTGCCCGTTTCTGGGGTTTGTCATTGCCAGAAAATGTGGTTGGCGATGATTTTGCCGGTTTCTGGGGTTTATCAAAGCCAGAAAATGTGGTTGGCGATGATGTTGCCTGTTTCTAGGGTTTGTCAAAGCCAGAAAATGTGGTTGGCGATGATTTTGCATGTTTCTGGGGTTTGTCAAAGCCAGAAAATGTGGTTGGCGATGATTTTGCATGTTTCTGGGGTTTATCAAAGCCAGAAAATGTGGTTGGCGATGATTTTGCCTGTTTCTGGGGTTTATCAAAGCCAGAAAATGTGGTTGGCGATGATTTTGCCCGTTTCTGGGGTTTGTCATTGCCAGAAAATGTGGTTGGCGATGATTTTGCCGGTTTCTGGGGTTTATCAAAGCCAGAAAATGTGGTTGGCGATGATGTTGCCTGTTTCTAGGGTTTGTCAAAGCCAGAAAATGTGGTTGGCGATGATTTTGCATGTTTCTGGGGTTTGTCAAAGCCAGAAAATGTGGTTGGCGATGATTTTGCATGTTTCTGGGGTTTATCAAAGCCAGAAAATGTGGTTGGCGATGATTTTGCCTGTTTCTGGGGTTTATCAAAGCCAGAAAATGTGGTTGGCGATGATTTTGCCTGTTTCTGGGGTTTGTCAAAGCCAGAAAATGTGGTTGGCGATGAGTTTCCTGTTTCTGGGGTTTGTCAAAGCCAGAAAATGTGGTTGGTGATGATTTTGCATGTTTCTGGGGTTTATCAAAGCCAGAAAATGTGGTTGGCGATGATTTTGCCTGTTTCTGGGGTTTATCAAAGCCAGAAAATGTGGTTGGCGATGATTTTGCCTGTTTCTGGGGTTTGTCAAAGCCAGAAAATGTGGTTGGTGATGATTTTGCCTGTTTCTGGGGTTTATCGAAGCCAGAAAATGTGGTTGGCGATGATTTTGCCTTTTTCTGGGGTTTGTCAAAGCCAGAAAATGTGGTTGGTGATGATTTTGCCTGTTTCTGGGGTTTGTCAAAGCCAGAAAATGTGGTTGGCGATGATTTTGCATGTTTCTGGGGTTTGTCAAAGCCAGAAAATGTGGTTGGTGATTATTTTGCCTGTTTCTGGGGTTTGTCAAAGCCAGAAAATGTGGTTGGCGATGATTTTGCCTGTTTCTGGGGTTTATCAAAGCCAGAAAATGTGGTCGGTGATGATTTTGCCTGTTTCTGGGGTTTATCAAAGCCAGAAAATGTGGTTGGCGATGATTTTGCATGTTTCTGGGGTTTATCAGCTAGATATGTATACATGATTTTGCCTGGATCTGCGCAAGCCAAAGCCAGAAAATGTGGTTGGCTTATGATTTTGCCTGTTTCGGGGTTTGTCAAAGCCAGAAAATGGTTGGCGATGATTTTGTTGTTTCGTCATCAGCCAGAAAATGTGGTTGGCGATGATTTTGCATGTTTCTGGGGTTTGTCAAAGCCAGAAAATGTGGTTGGTGATGATTTTGCCTGTTTCTGGGGTTTATCAAAGCCAGAAAATGTGGTTGGTGATGATTTTGTTTGTTTCTGGGGTTTATCAAAGCCAGAAAATGTGGTTGGCGATCATTTTGCCTGTTTCTGGGGTTTGTCAAAGCCAGAAAATGTGGTTGGTGATGATTTTGCCTGTTTCTGGGGTTTGTCAAAGCCAAAAAATGTGGTTGGTGATGATTTTGCCTGTTTCTGGGGTTTATCAAAGCCAGAAAATGTGGTTGGTGATGATTTTGTTTGTTTCTGGGGTTTATCAAAGCCAGAAAATGTGGTTGGCGATGATGTTGCCTGTTTCTGGGGTTTGTCAAAGCCAGAAAATGTGGGTTGGTGATGATTTTGCCTGTTTCTGGGGTTTATCAAAGCCAGAAAATGTGGTTGGCGATGATTTTGCCTGTTTCTGGGGTTTATCAAAGCCAGAAAATGTGGTTGGTGATGATTTTGTTTGTTTCTGGGGTTTATCAAAGCCAGAAAATGTGGTTGGCGATGATTTTGACTGTTTCTGGGGGTTTGTCAAAGCCAGAAAATGTGGTTGGCGATGATTTTGCCTGTTTCTGGGGTTTGTCAAAGCCAGAAAATGTGGTTGGTGATGATTTTGCCTGTTTCTGGGGTTTGTCAAAGCCAGAAAATGTGGTTAGTGATGATTTTGCCTGATGTTTCTGGGGTTTGTCAAAGCCAGAAAATGGTTAGTGATGATTTTGCCATGGCTGCGGGTTTATCAAGCCAGAAAATGTGGTTAAGCGATGATTTGCCTGTTTCTGGGGTTTGTCAAAGCCAGAAAATGTGGTTAGTGATGATTTTGCCTGTTTCTGGGGTTTGTCAAAGCCAGAAAATGTGGTTGGTGATGATTTTGCCTGTTTCTGGGGTTTATCAAAGCCAGAAAATGTGGTTGGAGATGATTTTGCCTGTTTCTGGGGTTTATCAAAGCCAGAAAATGTGGTTGGTGATGATTTTGCCTGTTTCTGGGGTTTGTCAAAGCCAGAAAATGTGGTTGGTGATGATCTTGCCTGTTTCAGGGGTTTGTCAAAGCCGGAAAATATGGTTGGTGATGATTTTGCCAGTTTCTGGGGTTTTTCAAAGCCAGAAAATGTGGTTGGTGATGATTTTGCCTGTGTCTGGGGTTTATCAAAATAGAAAATGTGGTTGGTGATGATTTTCCACTGTTTCTGGGTTTGTAAGCCAGAAAATGTGGTTGGCGATGATTTTACCTGTTTCTAGGGTTATCATCCAGAAAATGTGATTTGGCGATGATTTTGCATGTTTCTGGGGTTTGTCAAAGCCAGAAAATGTGGTTGGTGATGATTTTGCATGTTTCTGGGGTTTGTCAAAGCCAGAAAATGTGGTTGGCGATGATTTTGCCTGTTTCTGGGGTTTGTCAAAGCCAGAAAATGTGGTTGGTGATGATTTTGCCTGTTTCTGGGGTTTGTCAAAGCCAGAAAATGTGGTTGGTGATGATTTTGCATGTTTCTGGGGTTTGTCAAAGCCAGAAAATGTGGTTGGCGATGATTTTGCCTGTTTCTGTGGTTTATCAAAGCCAGAAAATGTGGTTGGTGATGATTTTGCCTGTTTCTGGGGTTTGTCAAAGCCAGAAATTGTGGCTGGCGATGATTTTGCCTGTTTCTGGGGTTTGTCAAAGCCAGAAAATGTGGTTGGTGATGATTTTGCATGTTTCTGGGGTTTATCAAAGCCAGAAAATGTGGTTGGTGATGATTTTGCCTGTTTCTGGGGTTTATCAAAGCCAGAAAATGTGGTTGGTGATGATTTTGCCTGTTTCTGGGGTTTGTCAACGCCAGAAAATGTGGTTGGTGATGATTTTGCATGTTTCTGGGGTTTGTCAAAGCCAGAAAATGTGGTTGGTGATGATTTTGCCTGTTTCTGGGGTTTGTCAAAGCCAGAAAAATGTGTTGGTGATGATTTTGCCTGTTTCTGAGTTTGTCAACGCCAGAAAATGTGGTTGGGTTGTTGATGATTTTGCCTGTTTCTGGGGTTTGTCAAAGGCAGAAAATGTGGTTAGTGATGATCTTGCCTGTTTCTGGGGTTTGTCAAAGCCAGAAAATGTGGTTGGCGATGATTTTGCCTGTTTCTGGGTTTGTCAAAGCCAGAAAATGTGGTTGGTGATGATTTTGCCTGTTTCTGGGGTTTGTCAAAGCCAGAAAATGTGGTTGGGTACATACTGGGGTTTATCAAAGCCAGAAAATGTGGTTGGTGATGATTTTGCCTGTTTCTGGGGTTTGTCAAAGCCAGAAAATGTGGTTGGTGATGATCTTGCCTGTTTCAGGGGTTTGTCAAAGCCGGAAAATATGGTTGGTGATGATTTTGCCAGTTTCTGGGGTTTTTCAAAGCCAGAAAATGTGGTTGGTGCCTGTTTCTGGGGTTTGTCAAAGCCAGAAAATGTGGTTGGTGATGATGTTGCCTGTTTCTGGGGTTTGTCAAAGCCAGAAAATGTGGGTTGGTGATGATTTTGCCTGTTTCTGGGGTTTATCAAAGCCAGAAAATGTGGTTGGCGATGATTTTGCCTGTTTCTGGGGTTTATCAAAGCCAGAAAATGTGGTTGGTGATGATTTTGCCTGTTTCTGGGGTTTGTCAAAGCCAGAAAATGTGGTTGGTGATGATCTTGCCTGTTTCAGGGGTTTGTCAAAGCCGGAAAATATGGTTGGTGATGATTTTGCCAGTTTCTGGGGTTTTTCAAAGCCAGAAAATGTGGTTGGTGCCTGTTTCTGGGGTTTGTCAAAGCCAGAAAATGTGGTTGGTGATGATGTTGCCTGTTTCTGGGGTTTGTCAAAGCCAGAAAATGTGGGTTGGTGATGATTTTGCCTGTTTCTGGGGTTTGTCAAAGCCAGAAAATGTGGTTGGTGATGATTCTGCCTGTTTCTGGGGTTTGTCAAAGCCAGAAAATGTGGTTGGTGATGGTTTTGCCTGTTTCTGGGGTTTGTCAAAGCCAGAAAATGTGGTTGGTGATGATTTTGCCTGTTTCTGGGGTTTGTCAAAGCCAGAAAATGTGGTTGGCGATGATCTTGCCTGTTTCAGGGGTTTGTCAAAGCCAGAAAATGTGGTTGGCGATGATTTTGCCAGTTTGTGGGGTTTTTCAAAGCCAGAAAATGTGGTTGGTGCCTGTTTCTGGGGTTTGTCAAAGCCAGAAAATGTGGTTGGTGATGATTCTGCCTGTTTCTGGGGTTTGTCAAAGCCAGAAAATGTGGTTGGTGATGATTCTGCCTGTTTCTGGGGTTTGTCAAAGCCAGAAAATGTGGTTGGTGATTATTTTGCCTGTTTCTGGGGTTTGTCAAAGCCAGAAAATGTGGTTGGTGATGATTTTGCCTGTTTCTGGGGTTTGTCAAAGCCAGAAAATGTGGTTGGTGATGATTCTGCCTGTTTCTGGGGTTTGTCAAAGCCAGAAAATGTGGTTGGTGATGGTTTTGCCTGTTTCTGGGGTTTGTCAAAGCCAGAAAATGTGGTTGGTGATGATTTGGCCTGTTTCTGGGGTTTGTCAAAGCCAGAAAATGTGGTTGGTGATGATTTTGCCTGTTTCTGGGGTTTGTCAAAGCCAGAAAATGTGGTTCTTTCCCTTTAAACCCACCACTTCGGGGGTGACTTTGATCATGGTAAAGTAATGAGGCCAGCCCGAAAAAACGCGCCAAAAGCACGGGGTGGGACCCGTCCCAAAAACACGCAAGAAACACGGGGGGGGGGGGTGGGGGGTGTCCAAATCTTTGGGCGGATATTTCCGCATGTTTCGCGATTTTTTTTCCGGAGGTTTGGTGGACATTTTGGACCGGACGCGGCTTTTTGTTGCTGTTTGAAGCCAGCCTGAACATCACCTACCTGCTATTTGCAGGTGAGTTTCAGCTTGGGTGATGTTCAAGGGCAAAATATTGGGGTGGGGACCCGTTTGTTGTTTCACATCCCAAGTTGATAACCATCCCAACTATGCAACATGTGCTGTTGCTCCGGAGGGAATGAACCGTTTCCCCATGGGACACTTCCATCTACCTGTATAGTAGGTACCCAAGGGAACCACCCTTCAAAAACAGCTGGTTGCCTACTATAAGGGTAACTGGAATTCACTGGGGAGAGCAACCAGGGCAAATTGTTTGAAGAACTAGGCCCTGAAAAGGAGGTTGCTTAAACTAAAGGTGTTTAACTGTTTAACCAGGTATCTCCCAACCCTGGTTGACATTTTGGATGCTCAAAACTCCCTTGTTTTGGGGTTGGGACGTGACAGCTATCCACCCATAGGGAGTTGAAGTTGCTGTTTGAATTCTTGAGAGAACCATGGCCACGTATGTGTGAATTTGAAGCAAACCTGCGAAACCATATTTTATTGGCAAAAGCCTCCAAGAAGCTTGGAATGGGAACCTTGTAAGGAATCGGGTTTGGATCGGAGGGTTCTTAGAACCATTCTGGCGGCCCGAGTGCCTCTCCTTAGCTTCGGATGTGATCAAGGAGAGACCTGGCGGTTGGAGGGTCTCAAACCGGCATGGGAAGTAAGTTGAAGTGATGGTTTTCTTTGAGCGCATGGGTTTCTTTGATAAAGCCGTTGGTTTTAGCCAGGGTCTTAGAAAACGGACTTCGTCTGAAGGAGTACATTGGGTTCATCCGGCATGTCCTGAGCAAAGAGTTGGTTGCCTGGCGGATGGCGAGCTTTTGTTGGTTGTTAGAGGATCGTGGTTTCCCGATTTTCCGGCAATGGCGGTGTCAACCAGAATTGGGGAGGCGCAGCCCGATTTGGGCAACACCCACTCCTTGGGAGCCTTAATGGTGGGGAATTAATGTTTTGACATGTGGTTTCCCTGCAACGGAAAAGGATTTGCGTGAATCGGAATAGATGGCCTGTCAAACGAACCTAGCTGGGATGTTCCCACATGGCTTAATTGAATGTCCCTGGATGTTTGGGGCAAAGGCTTAGGCCAAATTTGTGTTTCTAATTTGGGGGAGGTGGTGGGGTTGGGGACCCCACAACCGCAAAGTTACCTGTGGGAAAAGCAAGAGACTCGAATTGTGGGAACACTTCTCAGCGGGGGTGCATGTGCCTCCCCTGCGGTCGAGGGCCGTGTGTGCGCTGTCTATGAGCAGAATGACTTGGATGGCAATGGCGCCTTGTACCTTGGCATCCCAACAAACATGGAACAAAGCGGACAAGCACAAGGGTTCGTATGGGACTCAAACTCGCGACCAGAATTGCCGCTATTAGTTTGCTACTGCTGGGTCGTGTCTGTGGCTTATGTCGTTTTCATGTTCACCCTTGAAGATTCACCAGACTACATTTGCCACCCGATCGAACCCAAGGAGCGAATCAGAGTGGCTGCGGTGCCTGCACACTCTCCACAGGGCGCGCAGTTGGCATATCGCCTCGGAACAGTCGAAACTCCCCCCGGGCAATTTGTCGGCTGTCAAAGGGACGCTGCATGGTGGATGCGATTTTGGCTTCTGATTCAATTGATCGTAGTCCCCATTGCCCATTGAAGACTTCCACATGGCATTCCGAACAAAGCGACATTGATTGAGATGTATTTGTTCCCTGAGGAGGAAGCGGTTGCCATCAGGGAGCACTTGTCGCAGCTGAATGATAGGCGAAGGGCAAGGGGGCCATGCAGCTCGTGGGCTTGAACCAAAGGGGTTCTCGTTTTGGCATGTCTCAATGGTTGCCCTTGGTCCATCGAACATGGACAGCATAAAACTGTTGCCATTTGGAGTGTCCGGTTTGGTCCAATATCATTCAATTACAGCTGCATGGGAACTAAGGGTCCGATTTGTGGCACGTGGTTTCATGAACCTCTTGCCATGACACCGTGAGGTTTTTCCATGTCCGGTCGAATTGTTGCTCGCCCCGTTCTTGGATGGCTTTTTCCCGAGGGTGGGCGCTTTGAACTGTGCCCGAAGGAGCGCCCCCGCCAATGTGTGAGACCTTGGATTTTTCTCGCTGGTCCGAAGGATCTGAAGCCCCGGTGGTTTTCCCAAGTGGAAGGGTAAGCATGAGCCACTCACGTCGATTCCCCAAGAGAAACCCTGGTCCTTGGATTGCCTTAATTGCATTCCCTGTGCAGTACTTCAGGTACTTGTCATATGGGTATGGCTCAAAATTCAAGCGCTGGGGTTACGCGGGTTTTCGTCTTTGGTTCCATTTACCCAGGTGCCATTTTGGTACCACTTTTTTTGAGCCACAGCCATAGACGTTTCTGATGATTCCCCTGAAAATACCAACACATGCTGGTTTCGCATGGTGTCAAAGTGCGAAACGGATTTCGTCCATCCACGTCAAAGTTGTGTCAAACACCCAGAAAGCCTTCTAGTAACCATCCCCAAAAAGGCACCTTAGATTTTGACCCACAGCCACTTGTCATATGTCAAAGTTGTGTCAAAACACCGACCATCCAAACCAAACTCCAGGTGCCGCCGCGGTAGCCAACTGGAGACTTTGCTCATGGAGCTGGGCTACGCCATGCCCCCCGACGTCTTGCTGGACGCCCTGCACGCGACTCGACTCGCGATTCGTTCAGCTGAAGTTGGCGACTCGGAGTGGCTCAATTTCGATTTGTTCTTTTGTCCATCTGCTGTTTCCATACTAGTTGAACTTCTGAGTGGAAGGTGACTCATGTCGGTTTTCTTTGAATAGTGTCCTTTTGCGGAAAGAGTCGTTGAAACGAGTTGCGCCCGGACTTCCCTTCACAGCGGCTTGCAATTGGTTTTGACGCATATTTGGCGAGGCCCACCACATCTATCAGGGCACAGCGCAGCCTGGCAGCCAGTGAAGCTGCTTCAACCTGGACCTTTCTCAGATGTTTTTGTTGTTGGGGGGGCAGGTGTCAGGAAGCTCGTGAGGGCGTTGTTTGTGTGGCCCCCGATGTAGACATGATGGCGGTTGCGGGAAAGCGAAGCCCGGCACGAGGGCTTTTGGGTGGGGTTTTCAAAGTCAAAGGTATCCTTGGTTGGTGGTTTGGATTGGTGGCTTGACCGTTTGGTTCCAGAGGCAAGATGGGGTATACCACCCGTCCCAAACTGCGAAACTTCGAGTGAAGCTGAGTTGTGGGTGTCCAACCTGGCTGTGGTTGTCAAAACTGTTTTGGGATCCCATAGTGGGGTAGGTGAATTCACCACCCATTTTGGTCCATGTCAGTGGTTGGATTGGTTGATGTAATCCCTGGGGGTACGGGCTTTGGATTTTGACCCATGGCCACCTCTACATGGTTGTTGTTGGGAAACATGTGACATTTTTGCTTATTGTGGTTTAGTGGGAAATCCCCACTTAACTTCTAAAATTTGAGATTTTTTGCTCCCCCACCCCCAACGTCAACCAAGTCTAGGCGGAACAGCCAGCTCCTGGGGATGCCCTTGTCGCTCCTGGAGTTCGATGTGGGCCTCGAAGAGATCCGCGCCTTGCGCCTCGGCCTTCGATTCGATGCCCCGAAGGCCCAAGTCACCCCCCCTTTCTTTAGAAGGCGAGGGAATCTACATGCCCATTGAATGTTATATATATATATATATATTATACATTATACGTATGGATTATATATATATATATGTACATGTATACATTCCATTAGGTATATACAAATATGAATGTATTGTATGTCATTTGTGGGTGAATGACATGTTGAGTTGGGGAGGATGGGGGAGGAACCTCCCAAGATACCCACACAATTGAATCCATCTTGGATCCAGGATCTAGGTGTTTCGAAAAAATTCTACATACCATATTTAAACTCCACAATCACATAGTTGCCATGCTCTTTGCGGGAGCCGTCTGTCTTACGCCTTCAACATTTTTTGCGGTAGCCATGCTGCCTGTGATGGACTGATGGAGCTGTAAAATCGTCAAACACTGCTCAAATAATGCAAAACAAAGGCCACTGGGCGGGGTGGTAGCGTATATACCTATACGCGATCACTATGATATATATATATATATATGTATACATATACACATGTATATAACACATACACCCAGGGACAGCAGCAAACCCGAAGTCCGACGTCCGATGTCCAGGACCTGCACCTTGCGAGCCCGCGACGGCTTTACGGATGAAGAGATGGAGCAGATGAAGCGAGCCTTTCACATGCAGCCCCTGGGCCCAAAACCCGAGCTGCATGTCCATGCCATGGAACCACATTTGGCTGTGGTCAAAACCGTTTTGGGATCCCATTTTGGTTGGTAGGTGAATGCACCACCCATTTTGGAATCTATTTTTGGTGGTTGGATTGGTTGATGTAATCCCTGGGGGTACGGGCTTTGGATTTTGACCCATGGCCATTTGGTCTTCCACCCCTCAGGCAGCTGCCGTCTTAGAGGGTGACCCGCTCCACTGCTGTTGTTTGGCATGTTGAACTTGTCGCCAAAAGATAAGAGCCGACACTTTGGGGAGCGGCTGCAATTGGAAACAAGCGTCAAGCCATGTCTCAGAGGTGTTTGCACACACACACACACGCCTACATGTGTGTATGTTTGTATACATGTATGTGTATATATGTATATATGTATATAGGTATATATGTGTATATGTGTATATGCACATGTGTAATATGGGGAGAGAGAGAGAGAGAGATGTGTACATGCACACACACACACACACATCCGTGTAAACACATGTGCACACTGGTACGCACATGTTCACATTGAGGTACACGCACACTGTCTGACACACATGTACACACCCACACATTTCCATGCATACGCACACACACACATAGATGCATACGTGACAATAAATAAATAAATAAATGTGTATATATATATATAACTATCTTTTCATGTGCAGAACGAACGGCCGTTTTGCCAATTTCCCGCCCCCTGCTGCGCGGACTTCCCCATGCCCAAAGGCGTATCGGCTCAGGGTCTGCCGCGCACGGCCTTTTTTGGGTACGCTCAAGGGCAGTGGTACTACTTAGATGCCCAGCATCAAGATTGGATTCTAGATTTCCTTGACACCAAGAACCATCTTTGCGTCCACGTGCTCGATGAAAACTCCTCGTTGCGCATCTACGTTGCGCCGGTGGCTCGGCGGGGTGTTACGGCCCCCGGGTCATCGTGCAGCGTACAGAAGGTTGGCCGCGAAGTGGCGTTTGTATTTGTGTAAAGTCTTCTCAATGCTTTCCACTCTGAGCAATCAGGCTGATGGAAGGCGACTGGACAGCCTTTCGGGCCTTTCGCCTGGTCTCACTACTCGACTTAGAAGCCAAACAGAACTCCGGAGGCAAGACAAGCGAGCCGCCATGAAGCGACCAGCAGCCGTGCTTCGACAACCAGCTTGTAGCAAGCCAGCTTACACACAAGCGGCGCAAATGGTTGACAGCGACTACAAGAGCAAGAAGAATTTCTTGGAGTCTTTCGACGCCAGCGACCATCTCGCTACATTCTGCCGCTACATTCTGCCGACAGTGAGCTGCGTACTTCACACTTGCGCCTCAAAGCAGCTGCAGGCGTATGCTCTGCTCCTGGCTTCGAAGTTGGCTCGCGCCTGCCGATCAAGGGTCTCACTGGCAATGTGTGCGAACAAGCCATAGCGTCTGGGCGTTGCGCAAGTGCAGTCAAAACTGCGTCAGCGCGGGGGGAGTTCGATGTGGATGAAGGCTGCTTCACTTCAAGTCCGTGGTCTTCCGGTAGAGGGCAAGCGCACAAAGGCTTCCAATGGCAGGCGCTGCCGCCACTCTCGCAAGCTCTGGGAGCGCCCTCTAGCAGCATGGCCCTGTTAGTGCATGGAGCTTTACAGCGCGGTGCGCCGTCGCGCGCTCACCTTCAACGCAGTTGCGCCCGGGCTAGTCTTCAGCTGAGAAAGAGCCCCTTTCTACGTCGCAGTGCAGGCGTTGGGAGTGGATCAGGGTGGAGGCGGCGAAAGTGCTGTGCGTATGGATGGTAGGCTTGGCGGAAACAGTTGCAGCCGACACACACACGCATACTGTGTGTGACACTTTCATACTTTGTTACACACGCACACGCACACGCACACGCACACGCACACACGCACACGCACACGCACACGCACACGCACACGCACACGCACACGCACACGCGCACGCACGCACACGCACACGCACACGCACACGCACACGCGCACAACACGCACGCACGCACACCCGCGCACACCCACGCACACCCACGCACACCCACGCGCACCCACGCGCACGCACACGCACACGCACGCACACGCACGCACGCACGCACGCACGCACAGACACAGGGACACACACACAGCCAGACGCAGACGCACACAGACACACGCAGACACACACACACACACAGACACACGCTGACACACACACACACACAGACACACACGCACACACAGACACACACACACACAGACACACACGCACGCGCGTGTCTCTGTTCTTTGTCTCTCTCTCTCTCTCTCTCTCTCTCTCTCTCTTTCCTTTTCCCGCTGTCTCTCTCTATCTTGTCTACACACACCTATGTATAATTACACATATACAGATGCGTGCCGTGCAAATAAAAGCATTAACGCACGCACATACAAACACACAGGCCCACCCAAAAATACACACGCAGGCTTACAAACAGATATACAAAGTACATACACGTACAAAACATCACATGTATATCAGGGCTCCTTAAAAGATACATTTTGCCCATTTGAAACATGGCTTTTTCCACCAAGATAAAGGAAAACCACCATTTACCTGGCAATGTTCAGGTGTATAATGTAAGGATCCCTGTATATAAAAATATATATATATATATACATGCAGACACGCAAACACAGACACGCGACCACATGCATGCGCACCCACATGCACGGAATCGGGGTCGCAGGTCCGGGCGGCAAGATGAAATCGCCAGCCCGGCGATACAGAGCCTTGTCTGCCGTGCCCACTGTTTCTTTATTTACGTGAGTTTGGTTGGGTGCTTTCGGGTATCCTTGTAACGCCATCCCTCGGATTGCACCCACCGTATTGCAACTTCTCACAGTGGAATCCAGTGACCCCTTCGCCTGATTGAACGTCCCAGTTTCGGAATGACGTTGCAGCTCTTTAGCTCTTGAAACCGTGTTTGGGCGCAGTTGGCAAGTCATAACGAGCCAGGACTTCTTCCCTGGTTTGGCATGGTGTTTGTGGGTACCTATGACTTTGCCTGGAAACAGTCGGTCCGGGGACACTTGAGCGATGGCGATTCCTATCTGTCACTTTGCCGGGGTTCTGCTAGGTGTTGGGCTCCTTGGGATCTTGAACCATCAACATGGAAACCCACGAATGATTGCTGTTCTCCGGTCTTCCCTTTCAAAGAAATTCAGAAGGCAACGATCCCAAAGAGCACTGCAGGGAGTGCCTTTTCTAGGTTGGACAAAACCGTGGCCTTTTGCGGGTTGGCGCGCCATGTCCACGGTCTTTTGTTCTGGCAACTGAGGAGAGCTTTGCGTTGGCTTGGGCACTTCTACAGTTTCGACATGGTGCAACATCTGGTTTCAGAGCTCGATGTGGATGGAGACTGCATGCTGGATTTCACGCTCTTTGTCAAGCTCATCAGCAGCTTGGCTGGACGGCATGAGCGTCGGTCGCCCGAAGCAGGGCATAGCACGCGCCAGGAAAATGCCGTGACACAGAGCGGCGGGCAGCGACGTCGGCGTTCTTCAAGCACTCAAGCTGCACTTTGGAACATCTGGAATGGCTATAAGTTATATACATTTTTGTTTGGTGCTGGACGATCAGATGACCAGATGTGCAATCGACGGTAGTTCTGGCTTAATTGGGGAGTTGTGTGGTTTGAGAAGAACATATGCCAACTTATGGATGAGCCCATTCACACAAGCTGAAGTGGCAAAGCTTCTGATAGTTTTTTTTGTTTTCCGCAAGGAAGCCATCAAACAGGGGGTCCAAGTGCTCAAATGACGGTTGGTGGACATAGCTCCCATGCAAATGATGTCCACCATTCATACCCAAGTAGTTTGGTTGACTCCACATGAACAGAATTACTCGCCTCAGGTTCGACACGACCAGCTGCGGGCTGTTGGACCAGCCTGGGCAGTACCAGGCTATTCGCAGCGTCTGAGCAAGAGTTCAGGAAGCTTTCCATGCCTCTGCTCCTTTTCAAGGAAGCCCTTCGGTTATTCCCCGAGTTTCCCTCAACCATCTTGACCCTTTTCTCTTGGTTTTCCCTTAAACATCTTGACCCTTGTGGATTTCTCTTGGTTTCCCTAAATCAAAGGGGGTGCTCGGTCTCGCTGCTTCCGGACCCGCGCGAGCTACTTCTTTTCAAGGTCTTGGGCTCGACACAGCTCCGATGCAGGGAGCAATCACTTTGGCACAGCTCCTCGGCGTTTGGAGCCACCGAGGCAACTTGGATCAGCCCCTTCGCTCGGCCGATCCAATGACCACCGTTAAAATCGTGCCCTAAAGGAAAAGTGTCCGCATGCCAACGATTTCGACAGGTTCTTGAAGCACGTCCGGCAACTTGGCTGCAAGCCCAGCTCAGAGTGCAGCCGTTGCTTTTTCTTGAAAGCAAATACACGCCATGTCAGACCAAGCGTTAAGTCCGTTAAGTGTTAGAAAGGAGGAACACCCATAATTATTTGGGGGCGCATCTGGGAACCCACAGGCAGTCCGTTGTTGGAACCCAGCCTTACCGCCAGGAACTTCAAGTTCGACCCTGTGAGGCTGCAGGAGTTGCGCCTCAATGCGCCTCGGAAGGCCAAGAGATACACGGAGCTTTCGGAGGGTTCCGTTTTTGGAGTTTGACTCCGAACATCAAAAGGACGCCCGGGGGGGGGGGGGGGCGGGGGTGGCCATTTTGACCTCTCACCTTTTGGGCAGAGACTGTGCTGCCTGGGACCTGTCGACACTGATGTGGCAAAGCGCCAAAAGGAGGGAAAAGGATTCCTGATTTTGACACTGAGATCAAGGCTTAAGGCCTTGCTTCCGGTCTGACAAGTCCGCGGGTGCATCACATGTGTGTTTTCTTTTTCCACTCTTTGCTTGTTTGAGACAAGCTGCGCGGAGATCGCTTGGCATGTTTTGTTGGAACTCCCAACGTTTGACAAGTTGTGCGGAGATGGCATGGATGTGGCTCAAAATTATGCAGGAGGGGTTACGCAGGTTTTGGTCCATGCTTCCACTTTCCAGGATTCCATTTTGGGTACCGGTTGAGCCACGGCCGCATGTGCTTGGCTCGTTTCTCTTCCTGCTCGTTTCTTTTTTTTTGGTAAGTCGAGGCGGGCTACGACCAGCACGAGCTCGAGGAGATCCGATCTCAGTTTGAGTCCTTCGACAAGGACTGCAGTGGCGAGTTGAGACTCGGAGGAAACGGCTCCGTCCATATTTTGGGCTACACTCCCTCAGCCTAACATGGAAGCTGCCGGAAGGCCTCTGTAAATGGAATCAAGTCTTCCCAGTGGGGTCCTGGGAGCTTCCATGTTCGTCTGAGGGATTGTAGGGTCAAAGGGACCACCGGGGTTCATGAACCAAGGACACCTGGCCTTAAGAGCCCTTTTTGGGGGCACCGAAGACGGGGATGCCTGCCAGAGTTTGTTGCCAAGGAAGCGTGCTGAGTTGGTGCAGATGATTGAGGCCTTGTTCCCAAGGCAAGCTCCTCAACATTGCCTCATGTGATCGATTCATCAGAAAGTACATAGATTTAGCATGTCAAGCTTCGGCCGCTGATTCACTCAAATTGAGCTGCTACTGTGCCAGCTTTGATTATGCCACTGTCAAGCTCTGAGGCATGCAAATCTGCCAGAATTCCGGCCATACTTCACAGAGCTGCTAAGCTTCGCTGATGCTTCTGGTCTGCGGATGGAGAGAAAGCTTCGGAACTGAGGAGTTCGATGTGTTTATGGGGGGTGTCTTGAGGGAACCCCTTTTTGGTTGGTGAAAAGGAAACAACACCATTTTAAGGGGTCCCCTAAGAAAGAGACACTCTCCTTGTGAATGTTTTGCGAGCAATTCTCAGGTCAACCAGAACGATTGCTTGGACTTCAAAGAGTTTGTCCGCCACTTGCCTGGATTCTCATATGGTGGTAAACCGTGTCGGGCCTGAAACAGTTCGCTACATACCCCGCATACCCTATGTGACAAGACATAGCTCGTTGCGCACCCCTCGTTAACATACCTTCGTTGCATACCTTCGTTACACACCTCACATTAGCAATACCGCCTGGCTGGTTGCACGTTCCTCGTTGCATACCCGGATGAGTACCCAGACTCTCAGTGATTCCCATGGTTGCCGATCAGAGCAGGCTTTTCAGAGCAGCTGGACATACCTGTGAGGAGTCAACTTGCAGAGAGCTTGCCATTGCGAAGACGGCAGGCAGGGGCCGGAAGAAAGAACCCTCTTTCAGTGCTATACTTCGCTGCATAGGCGTTGCATACCTTGTTACAGACCCAACCCTGGTCCGGGGCCAGCGACCCTCCCTTCTTGCCACCGTTTGGCTTGCGCTGAATAATTACAAATTTCAAGCTGGAGCTGTGGAGGCGCACTTTGCGTACTGCGCTTGTGCTGTAATTGTCAAGCACTGTTTTGCCGCTGCATACCTACGTAACCAGGACCCCGACTGCATATCTCCGTAACAAGACTCGCGCCGCGTCGCACGTTACATGCAGACATTGCCGTATTCGACCCCACTTCCGGTGAGTGACACGCACCCAACCGAGGCTTGATACGCAAAATCAGAGATCATGGGGAAGAGTACCAGTTCAAGCAGTACAAGCTGTCACTGTCGGAGCTCGGGTTTTCAAACAAGGACCGAGTCGGATGGTGTCGCACCTTTGGGTTGAAACGAGTAGCGCTAGAGGTAGTTCAATGTGAACTCAGGGTCGAATACGTTTGGTCACCTCTCCAGGAGGCTAGCGAATTCCGCAACCTTTTCCTGGGAGTAGAAGAAAATGGAAGGCCGCTCAACTGCAAGGGACGCAGTCCAGACCCATGCGGTGGCGCACATGGGGTTGGAGTTGCCGTGGCCTGTGTTTTGGTGCAGAGTCTTTTGCATGTTGGCGGTAGCTAAGTCTTCAATCCCCTGAGGAGCCCCAAACATCTTGAGACAAAAAGCACATTATTCCGCAATGATTGCCGAATTAGGGTGCAACATATGTTTTCTCTTTTGGCATCTTGGCGTCAGAGCCAGTTCAAGACAGTTGAAGGCTCCCAATCTTGTTTCATGAGGGGATGTGTTTCCAAGTCTGAAGCAGTCTCACTGTGGCGAGGAGTTGGTGGTAGACAGATAACGGGTGTGTGCGTTCTTGTATTCAGTTGCCTGCAGATATGCTAGAACAAAATCCTAACATATTTAAGCCAGACACAGGTTTAAGCTAGATGGGTAATAGAAAGCCAAACATTTGATAGAACAAACAAAACAACCTACAAGCCCGCTAGTTATAATACAATGGGATTAGGCAATGTGTATGCTGAGAATATACATCACCTATAATGGACACCACATGAGTAGAAATATATCAGAACTAGGCCGGAAGCATGGGAAGTATTCTGGAAGCGTGCTGGGAACATGTAATAACATGCCTGGCATATGCTGGACAATTAGATGCTATACCCCACAAGACTTATGCCCGCAAAAACCGAGCTGCAGAACACGAGGTTGCACTTCTCAGAGGTGCGGTCGATGATTGCGGGCTGCTTCAGGCTGAACGAGAAGCAGAGTCAGAAGTTGCTCGGTTTCTGCCGCCCCTTGGCTGGGTGAGTTGACCAATTCAATCACCGGACTGGCTAGTTGGTTTTCTTTGTGTTTCCCTTTAAACCGACTCAAAGCCATCCCCTTTGAACCAATTTAGAACCATCCCAACGAGG